AAGCAAAGGATACTGTGTATGTTAGCAAGGCAATGGATATAAAGAATAACAACAAATGATTGTAAGAGAATTAATCAGGATTCCGTCATAAAAGCTATATGCTTCAGGCAGTAGTTAAATTGATATCTCTGCCTTGCTGCAAAGCCAAAGTCCTGGCTTCTTTATTAAAATGCCCACTTTCATCAATGGAAATATTTCTTTTGAGACCTGGTTTGTACTGCATACTTGAGCACTGTACTCTTACTGTCGTACCTGGAGAAGTGCCGACTGGTGATTGCTGTTGTACACTGGATACCACTTTTGGTATATTTTTTGTGTAGCTGGGTTTTGGCCCATTGCGTTCTAAGAAGTCTCGCTGAAACAAAACCATACGCTTCACTGCACCTTGGTAGAGAAGGAAAGCAACAAGGTAAAACGTTCAAGGGTAGTGCCTTTGTCTAACTTTGTCTAAGTTGCATTATCACACCCCCACATGATCTCCTTATTCATTTCTTATGTAACAGAGAAGAAAAGCTTTCTTTCCAGAATTCAGCACCGAGTTCTCCTTTTAAAAATTAACTGTAACATTAAATACCAGTAAAGAATAAAGAAAATTCCTGGCAGATACATGAAGGCAAGAGAGTTTGGAATGTGAAATAAGTGACCCAATGACAAAAGAATTCAAAATGTATTCAAGCGAGGATGATAAAAACACTAGTCACTGCACTCCTGTTACTCTACAGCCTCCGCCAATATAAGTATGCAGAATGAGCATGCACACACCCTAAGAGAATTCTGCAGACAAGAAATACCAAGTTTCAGCTCCCAAGCACAAGTTCAGGAAAAGGATCTTATGAGCCATGTGTCAAAAAGATTAACACTAGAAGATATCTGTTCTACCTAGGATTCTTAGTTTTATCATGTAGTTTCAGTTCACTTCAGTGCATTTTAAAGATGCTGAAAGTTATCAGTGCTATTGCCTTCTTCCCAACTGAGAGGTTTTTGTGTTCAGTTTCACAGCTGAAATTGGAAAAGGTTCAGGAAATAGTACAATGGTGATAAAGAGCTTTAAATACCAATTTCATTATAAAAGATTGAAAAAACTAGGCAAAATATGGTCATACAGAGGGTGAAATGTACTGACCATTTAAAATATTTAAATCAGTACCCTCCTTCATGGATCACTGCCTTGTCGTGGCGAAAGAGCTTGCGTAGCTCAATGAAGCTATGAGCTATGCTGTGCAGGGGCACCCAAGAAAGTCAGGTCATAGCACAGAGCTCTGACAAAAGCTGATCCACTGGGGAAGGAAATGGCAACCCACTCCAGTATCTTTGCCATGAAAACCCCATGGACAGTACCAAAAGGCAAAAAAATATGATGCTGGAATATGAACCCTCAGGTTGGAAGGTGTCCAATATGCTACTGCCGAAGAGTGGAGGGCTAGTACTAGTAGTGCCAGAAAGAATGAAGTGACTGGGTCAAAGCCGAAACGACACTCAGTTGCAGATGTATCTGGTGATAAAAGGAGAGTCCGATGCTGTAAAGATCTATACTCCATAGGAACCTGGAATGTAAGATCCATGAATCAAGGCAAGCTGGATGTGGTTAAACAAGAGGTGACAAGACTGAACATCGACATCTAAGAAATCAGTGAACTAAAATGGACAGGAAATGGGTGAATTTAATTCAGATGACCATCAGTTATACTACTGCGGGCAAGAATCCCTCAGAAGAAATGGAGTAGTCTTCACAGTCAATAAAAGAGTAGGAAAAGCAGTAGTGGGATACAATCTCCAAAATGACAGAATGATCTCAGTTCGAATCCAAGGCAAACCATTCAACATCACAGTAGTCCAAGTCTATGCCCCAACCACTGGTACTGAAGAGGCTGAAGTTGACCAGTTTTATGAAGGCCTACAACACTTTCTAGAATTAACACCCAAAAATGATGTCCTTATCATCATGGGGGATTGGAATGTCAAAGTAGGCAGCCAAAAGATAACTGGAATAACAGGCAGGTTTGGCCTTGGAGTACAAAATGAAGCAGGGCACAGGCTGGTAGAATTTGCCAAGAGAATACGATGGTCACAGCAAACACTCTTTTCCAACAACCCAAGAGACGACTCTACACATGGACATCACCAGACGGTCAACACAGAAATCAGATTGACTATGTGCTCTGCAGCCAAAGATGGAGAAGCTCTATACAGTCTGTAAAAACTAGACCAGGAGCCAACTATGGCTCAGGTCAGGAGCTTCTTGTTGCAAAATTTAGGCATAAATTGAAGAAAGTAGGGAAAAGCACTAGGCCACTCAGGTATGACCTAAATCATATCCCTGATGAATATACAGTAGAGGTGACAAATAGATTTAAGGAATTAGATCTGATAGACAGAGTGCCTGAAGAACTATGGACGGAGGTTCGCAACACTGTACAAGAGATAGCAACTAAAACCATCCCAAAGAAAAAGAAATGCAAGAAAGCAAAATGGTTGTCTGCGGAAGCTTTACAATTAGCTGAGGAAAGAAGGAAAGAGAAAGGCAAGGGAGAAAAGGAAAGATACACCCAATTGAATGCAGAATTCCAGAGAATAGCTAGAAGGGATAAGAAGGCCTTCTTAAATGAACAGTGCAAAGAAATAGAAGAAAACAATAGAATAGGGAGGACCAGAGATCTCTTCAAGAAAATTGGAGATATGAAGGGATCATTTCATGCAAAGATGGCTATGATAAAGGACCAAAATGACAGGGACCTAACAGAGGCAGAAGAGATTAAGAAGAGGTGGAAAGATTACACGAAGGAACTATACAAGAAAGAGCTTAAAGTCCCTGATAACCACGATGGGGTGGTCACTGACCTCGAGCCAGACATCCTGGAATGTGAAGTCAAATGGGCCTTAGGAAGTCTGAGCAGCAACAAAGCTAGTGGAGGTGACAGTATTCCAGCTGAGCTATTCAAAATCCTAAAAGACGATGCAGTAAAAGTGCTACACTCAATATGCCAGCAAACTTGGAAAACTCAACAGTGGCCACAGGATCGGAAAAGGTCAGTTTACATTCCGAGCCCAAAGAAGGGCAATGCCAAAGAATGTTCAAACTACCGCACCATTGCACTCATTTCACATGCTAGCACAGTTATCTTCAAAATCCTACAAGCTAGGCAGGATTACAAGTACAGGCAAGATTTCGAAGAGGCAGAGGAACTAGAGATCAAATTGCCAGCATACACTGGATCATGGAGAAAGCTAGGGAGTTCCAGAAGAACATCTACTTCTGCTTCATTGACTATGCTAAAGCCTTTGATTGTGTGGATCACAACAAATTGCGGCAAGTTCTTAAAGAGATGGGAGCACCAGACCATCTTATTTGTCTCTTGAGAAACCTTTATGTGGGTCAAGAAGCAACAGTGAGAACTGGACACGGAACCACTGACTGGTTCAAAATTGAGAAAGGAGTTTGGCAAGGCTGTATACTGTCGCCCTGCCTATTTAACTTATGTGCAGAGCACATCATGAGAAAGGCGGGGCTAGATGACTCTCCAGTTGGAATTAAGACTGCTGGGAGAAATATCAACAACCTCAGATATGCAGATGATGCCACTCTAATGGCGGAAAGTGAAGAGGAACTAAAGAGCCTCTTAATGTGGGTGAAGGAAGAAAGCGCAAAAGTTGGCTTGAAACTCAACATTAAGAAAACTAAGATCATGGCATCTGGTCCTCTCACTTCCTGGCAAATAGATGGGGAAGAAATGGAGGTAGTGACAGATTTTATTTTCCTGGGCTCCAAGATCACCGCAGACGGGGACTGCAGCCAAGAAATTAAAAGACACTTGCTCCTGGGGAGGAAAGCTATTGCCAATTTAGACAGCATACTAAAAAGCAGAGACATCACCCTGCCAACAAAACAGCGTATAGTCAAAGCTATGGTTTTCCCTGTTGCAATGTATGGCTGTGAAATTTGGACTATAAGAAAGGCCAAGAATTGAGGCCTTTGAATTGTGGTGCTGGAGAAGACTCCTGCAATTCCCTTGGACCGCAAGGCAATCAAACCGGTCAGTCCTAGAGGAGATCAACCCTGACTGCTCTTTAGAAGGCCAGATACCGAAGATGAAACTCAAATACTTTGGCTACCTAATGAGAAGTAAGGACTCCCTGGAGAAGAGCCTAATGCTGGGAACAATAGATGGCAAAAGAAGAAGGGGACAGCAGAGAATGAGGTGGCTAGATGGAGTCACTGAAGCAGTTGGTGTGAGCTTAAGTGGACTCTGGGGGATGGTGGAGGACAGGAATGCCTGGAGCAATGTTTTCCATGGGGTCACGATGGGACATGACTTCGCGACTAACAACAACAACAAACCAGTACCATTTCAATAGCAAAATTTTACCTACCAAAGGGCAGGAGAAACACAGTACTGTAAAAGCTGCAAATAATTGTTGATTACAGATTTAAGAATTTAGCAATGATAAAATGTCAGTATCAGAAGAAGCCTTCTGTGACAGGTGGAGAAATTTAGTAAATTTCTTAGTAAATTTTACAATAATTTGGACAACACCTGAAAGATAGTTTGGCTCCAACAGCTCTGGATAGGGTTACCAGGTGGTCTCCCTTGACCAAAATAATACCTGGGGTGCTTCCAAACAAGGGTTTCATAGTGTTATCCCCCTCCCCCATTAATGGGATTTTGTTGTGTTTTCCCACTACTGCTTCTTGTTGAAAAACCATTATAAAAAAGTAGTAATAGTAATAGTTAGTCCTTTCTCACTAAGAGCACTAGCAGCATCTCTATTTTGGAAGCACCTCTGCCTAACTATAAGAATGCAATAGTATCTTATACCTTGTAAGACCATTCTTCACTTACCAAAACATTGCATGCAAAATAGTAGAAAGATTTGCTAATTTCACAATGCAATGCATGCATCACTAAGTACTGCACTGAAGTTAAAATAAAACTGTTAATGGTTTACATGAACAGAGAGTTTTTAAGGTGTCTGGTAACTTGCGCCTTAAACACTCAACTTACCATCAATATCTCCTTGCTCTGAATGTGGTACATTGGCCTTTTGTTTACTAAACCTGGCTTTTGCACAAACCTTTTCTTTGATATCCCATAATCTCAATTTTATGTTGTGATCTCTTAGTTTTATTAGAAAGTCATTAGTAACATTAATTTCAATGCTATGGTTCCATGACACCCATATTTGGTTATTTTCAAGCCATGGTTTCACGACCTATTTTAAAAAAAAAGATTTTTTCAAAATTAGAAACACTAAAACATTATGTATAAATGTATTTGTTTTGTATTCTGCCTACCAAGAAAAATAGTCCAGTAAATTTTCATAGCAAAGCTGCAATTGTTGTTGTGCATTGTAAAAAGCCAAGATACATATGAATTGCCCAATCTATAAACACGCTTTGTTCAAATTTTGTAATCCCAGGAATACAAGATACTAAATGATCTTGTGGAACACACCCAATACGACCCAAACAATACAACTGTTGAACCTAATATTATTGAATATTATTATGGTACAACTTAGAATATCATGAGTTTCAAAATATTTGTTTTTCAAATTGCTCTATTGTGTCTTCTTCCTATCTTGGGTCTTGGTTGGAAGAAGACCAGCTATTTTATACTTATTGTCTTCCATCTCACCTCCGCTTTACAGCATGCTGCATAGGCTGCTCATGATAAGCATAGGCTCATATGCAGTCCATTTCATGATGCGTATAAGTCACTGGGACCCATAACAATTATCCCCCAGAATCTATACATCCTCCCCATTGTCTCCTAGGCACAGTTCAATTTGCTAGCTTTGATCAGCTGCTTCCAGAGAGAATAGACTGTCTTCCATTGTGACCTATCACTATCCCTCGGATTGCCAAGTATACACTTTTAGCAAGTTAACCAATCAGAACACATATAAAAAGGGGTTTTCAGTGTTTGCCCCAAAGCTTTGGAACTCTTTCACCTCATGAATTACCAAACATAAAGCATGGGAAGCCTCAGAAGAAAAGGCTTTAAACATTTAAGCTGGTAAGTGAAGGCAAAGTTTCACTCATAAAACAATAGAGTTTTAATTTGTATTATTGTCTCTTATGATCATTCAAGTTTATATACCTCCTTTTGCAAGGAACGCAAGTTAGTTTACTTTCCATTTTATCCTCATAACATCCTTGTGAGATAGACTGGCCTTTGAGTCAGTGACTGGCCCAAAGTCACTCAGCGAGCTTCATGGCAGAAGAAGCTGGATCTCCCCAGTCCCAGGCCACCATTCTAACCACTGCACTACAATGATAGTCTATTCATTTCAATAGCTTATTCTGTTTGGCTATTTTTCACAACTTCATGGTTATCTGCTTCTGGAGTTTTTTGAAGGAGGCTGGCACCATCCCTCTTATCTTGCACGTGGGTCACCATTGCAATAGGAGTGCTACCACAACGCAAGTGATGGTCATTACAGCACTCCTACCAACCCACCATCAAGATTGCCATTACTTGGAATGAAACCTGGTACTTGAAAGGCTCTTCTGACTCAACCTGAGTATTCCACAGAAATTCTATATTTAAATGATATCATTATGCTTGAGTGTGGCCTGCCATTCAGCAGAAACCCTTAAGCTCTGCACTATGCCATAAACCATGAACATGCATGAAACACGTAACCCTACATTTAGAAGGCAAAGGATCATCTCCATCTCACATTCTACTCTGCACTCACTGAAATATGCAGTGTGGTTGGCTTTTTCGACTTGGGCCGCTCACCATCCTTTGGAGTCTCTGACTGATAGTAAGGAGGGAAAAAAAGCAAAAGCAAAAGAAAGGGCAAAAGACAACAAAGAAAACATAAAAATGAAAAGAGGAACAGTGGCAACTTTCAGCTACACATCTGATACAAGCTAGGATTGAAGAACTTCCTTACCCATTAATGCAGGCGGGCAGAACCTCAAGCCTAGCAGTAAATCTAGGCCTCTGCAATTCCCCAGAAAGCCACACTTGTTTGCCCCAGTCACTGGGTGGTTTTTCAGCTTCTGAACAGTTCCCTCCCTTCCCCATCCCATTTTAAAAGGTAGAAATGCCTCTCCTAAGGCTTAGTTGCTGGCAGTAAGTGCTTAAACTAGCACAGACTGGTACTCTGCATTCTTGCCTGGCCCCTTTTGCACCCAAGGGCACATTTCATCACTCAAGCTCTGCCCACAGAGCTTCTCCAAAATGTAATTTCACTCTCAGGCTCAAAAAGGTCCTGCACCTCTACACAAATGTAATACTAATGCTTTAAAAATTAAAGGTTTAAAATCATTTTATATCTGAACTACCATACTGATGCAATCACTTGATGTAGACAACTGTTATCCAAAATTCTTAAAGAGCTTCAGATCAAAAGCTCAACTCTATCCTCATATACTCTTTTCTTCCCCAACATCCCAGCCTCAACCCCTTTTTTTTACATGGATAAAATGGGAATGGAGACCCCACAGGGCAAGCTACCTTGTCTGGCCAGCACACAAGTATGCAAACGTGCACCCACAGTAGCCGCTGCTGCTTTTAATATTACCTTCTGACTGTTTTATTTAAACTGCCTAGGACCCCTACTTGAATGGATTAGGAGACATGAATGGTTCAAAGTCTGTATTTAACAATAGTCATTTTCAAAAGAAGTACAAACTTGGTTATGAGAACATTCAATTTCTTTCTTTAAAAGAAATGCTTTCAGTTGTTTTTAAAGAGGACATGGGATTTTTAAAAACTACAACAGAAGGTTTATAATGGTTGGTTAAGAGAGTAATTGCTTCAGTGCTAAACTACAACTGGTGGGGGTTATGACTGGATCTTCAATGCCTTTTTCAAAAGGTTACAGCAGGAGCAGCGTGGAACAATTTGGGCTGGAGACAGTGCAGTTATCCCCCCTTGTGTATTAACCCACCCGCCATGTAACAGCTATCAGTGTCATGCAGGGGCAAGTATGATAGACAAAATACCCATCTTTTTTCCACAGCAAGTCTAATAGCAGCTGGAAGGAGAAGAGAAACACGAATTAGTGTTTTGTGCTTGCATGCATGCATGGAGGAATAAGCTTTCAGAACCACAGTCCATCTGTATTTTCCTCACTGCCCTAAAGCAGCCTGCATTTTGTGGCCACTGAGCATTCTCAGCTCCACTGGCATGTTTTTCTGGCAGGCACCCTCAATTGCTTCCAAAGTTTTTTGGATATGTGGAAGCTTTGAGATCCCTGATCATTCTGTAATTTCTTTTTTGTGTGATCGGTGCTGTTTTGGTTACACAATAAATGTTGCTGCATGCAATACTCCTGTTCATGTTTCCAATCACTAGATTCCATTTCCTATGTCACCAAACCACATAATATTAAACAGCCCTATTCCTCAGGGCTAAGGGATATTTCATTTCATTTATTTCTATACTATCTAATAGCCAAAACTCATTAGATGACAACAGATGCTTCTGCACTTTCTGGTCTGGTGAACACATCTGGGATCCACATGTCAGGGATGCTCACACAAAATGGCTGTCACAAAGGAGCTTCCCATTCCCAAAATGGTAATCATGGTGAATATGGCCAAGCACGAAACACCCATTCCCCAAATGGGTAAGGACAAAAGAAAAACGAACCTGTTCAAGAGCTTCAGTACAAAACAAAGGTGATTTCTAACATCTAAACACAAAACCAGTATTTTGAACTCACATTTTGTTCGTCAACACCCATTTAACAGAAAGCAAAGAGGGTCAAAGACAAGTTACTTGACCAAGAAACCGAGTACATGGCAGAGGTGGAATATGAATCCTAAGTCCAAATCCCACATTTATCTGCACAAAGTACAGAATTCCCATTTTACAGGTGGCAAGCTTATGGTGCTCAGGGAACAACCCTTTCTACATCCAAGCTAGTGCAACCCACCCCCACCAAAAACCCCAACTAAGATACACATTAAAAACAACAAGCAATGACATGCACATACACATACACACAGAAGGAGCACAGGAAAAGCAACCCCTTTGCTCTGCCACACCTTTATCCCCCTAGGACACTCCCTACCACCAGCACATTGTACAGTTTTCTTTTTCTCTGGATGGCTGGGCACACTACAAAACAAAGTACACAACTGCAGTGATTCTGTGATTTTTAAAAAAAATATTTGAAAGTGGAAACTTCTGCAGCAGCCATGCATAATTTTTATCTTCTAAGAAAAAAACAGGGATGGAGAGGCAATGTATGTTGTCACTTTGCTTTGCTATCTTGTTTTTCAAAAAATGAGGCATGACAGGGAGATTCCACTGGAGATGTCCACAGGTATCACATCTGGAAACCCAGGACTAAAGTACAGTAAGTGTTTTATTCTCCTTACCTTAGATTCAGTTTCCAGATATAGTTTAGCCAACGGACCAAATAACACCAAATCTAATTTCCGAGGATCAATATCATCTGGTAGAAGAAAATACTCCATATGATAAAAACGATGCATTTTTGGAATACTCCCTTCTTTTGCTTTAGACATTGTTGATTGAACATCCTGTCTAGAGACCATCCAAGGCTTACTTGCTAGAAAAAATAATTCCAAGTATTACAAAGGATCATATGCCCCACATTTAACTTAACAACATCTTTCCAAGGATCTTATTCAAACAGACGTACACACACGGGTCTTGCAACAAAATCCATGCTGTATTCCAAGTGGATGTTACTTAAGCCTGTTGAAAAGAACCAACGTTAGTATCAAAGACAGGACTCTATCCTATCCTTTTGTCCCTTTGCAAAGTCTGAACATCATACAGCATATACTTGTGCATTGGACTTGAACAAACTTTTCTCTACCCAAATGCTGCATCCACATGAAGTACTTAGCCCCCACTTCCTGCAGCAATCTGTACAGACAATGCATGTGAAAATGTGCAGCCATATGTGTTGGGTTTTCCCATTCACTGAAATAAGAACTGTATCTGCAAATAAGCTCTTTTAGACATAATTTTCTCCAGTCTGCTATCTTCCCAGGACTAGTTGGGCTACTTCACATAGAACCATAATCTGAAATGGAATTTTATACTGTCAGGGCATACTAACTCATTGTCTTATTACCTTAATAAGGCAAACTCACCATCACCTTCTCTTAACCTCCATGGGATCTTATTTTGCCAGTCCTTTCAGCTGTACTGGCTGCCTGTTGAAGTCCATGCCCAATTCAACGTGCTAGTGCTACCATTTAAAACCCTAAATGGTTTGGGGCTAGGTATGCATACTATCTGTGCCTTTATTATTGTGGTTTTGAGTAATCTCCAAGTATTTTGAACAATTTAACCCACTTGACTCCCTGCTTCTTGACTAGTTTCCTCATTTTAAAGACATTTCCTCTTTTGAAGTCAACAGTGACTGTGTTGTGGTCTTGTTCTCAACCTTCCACCTAACTATATATTAAATCTATGGACACTGTTTCCACTCAGTTCAACAACATGAGCATTCCATACTGTGTCCTAAGGAACTCCATCTAGGATTGAGTCTAGTATTGTCTCTCCTCTGATCAGTTCCATGACCAATTGTTCTAGGACACAGTTATTTTGGACATGGAGAAATTTAACCTCTTTGTCAGAAATGGAAAAAATATATATGCAGTCAACATGTGGATAGTTGAAGTTACCCAGTATTAGCATTGCCTTTGTTTGAGGCTTCCCTGGTTTCATTCTCCATTTCAAGGTCACCCTGTACATTCTGGTCTGGAAGACAATAGCATATTCCTATGTCCAAATTAGTTTTGGAGCCAGGTATTGTTACCTGAAGCACTTCTTAGATTATCAGGTGTGCAGGTTCTATGCCCCCTCTGACATATGGAGCAATACCCCTTTAACATACAGAGAAAACAATTTAATCTGAGCGAATACTTCACAGTGTCTGTCAATTCCCCACCCCCACAATTAAGTTTAACAACTGCTCTGCCACCTTTTTAAACTGTACACCAGCAGTCTGGCCCCATTTTGGTTCAAGTGAAGCCCGTCCCTCCTGTGCAGCCCTGGCTTGTCCCCAATGTTCCCTTGCTTAACAAATCTGAGCTCCTCCTCTCTGTATCACAATCTCATCCACACACTGAGAATCCTCAGCTGTGCCTGGCTAGCTAATGTTGTGCGTGGAACAGGCAGCATTTCAGATAAAGTCTCCTTGGTCCTGGATTTCAACCTCCTACCTAGCAGCCTACATTTGGCTTCCAGGACCTCATGACATTTCCCCACATTAGTACCAACATGGATTACAAACCCTGACTCCACCCCTGTACTACCTACAAGGCTATCTTGTTGTTGTTGATGTTAGTCGCAAAGTCGTGTCCGACCCATCACGACCCCATGGACAACATTCCTCCAGGCCTTCCTGTCCTCCACCATCCCCCGGAGTCCACTTAAGCTCACACCAACTGCTTCAGTGACTCCATCCAGCCACCTCATTCTCTGCCGTCCCCTCCTTCTTTTGCCTTCTATTGTTCCCAGCATTAGGCTCTTCTCCAGGGAGTCCTCCCTTCTCATTAGGTGGCCAAAGTATTTGAGTTTCATCTTCAGTATCTGGCCTTCTAAGGAGCAGTCAGGGTTGATCTCCTCTAGAATTGACTGGGTTGATCGCCTTGATGATGGGTAATACCCACAACCTTCACACCAGGCAGGTAATTTTCCATAAGGACCCCTTGCCTTGGAAAACCATGTCCCTTGCAAGCCTGCCTTCTTATATAGATCTAGATTGGCCCAAATGCGGCTGTAATCAATCTGATTGGAGGGCCTGGTTTGAAAAGCAAGGGAGGTGATGGCTTAACTCCAATTCTACCCTGCTTTCCAGTGATTGGGAATGCAAGCTCGTTGTTCCCCTTGGGAGTGGAGATATCCTATGCAGTGGAGAGCATAAAAGTGAATGAGTTGTTGGAGGGGACAACAGACTAAGGGTAGATGTGGTTTGGAAGGCTGAGTTCCGTTATGTGAGATTTAAATCTAAGTGACAACCTGGACTCTTAAACTTGGAATTACTCTGATTTCCAAGCTTTCCTTTCTGAGCTACTCTATAGCCCTAAAAACCTTAGCCTATACTGGGCCCAACTGAAGCTGGCCTTCACCTTATGCTTACAAGCAGCCTCTTCCTGAGCTAGGCCTACACCATGGCTCTTGCCAGTATAGAGTTATGTATAGCAAAATAATACAGCCATATAAAAATGTTTCTAGGTCTATTGACCTCTTGTGAAGGCATATTTTGTGAACCCATATGATATGTTCTAAAGGGAAGAGACAGGACTTAGGGATGCCATTTACCTACTTGGAAGTATCAGTGGGACAGCCAGTGAGACTGAGAATGTGCAGGTGACCAGCCGCTGAGAGTCGAATTCTTCACTTTCCACTGAATGACAGAACATCGTGCTTTCGTCTTCAGGAGTGGGATAGCCACCCCCACACACCTCTGGGCTCTCTGTTTCATATGTGCTTTCCGAATGTAGAGTGTTGATATCTGTCTCTTGTCCCTCTGCTGTCTCAAGATCTGACTCCTTATTTGCCATCCTGACATAGAATGATGAGTATTTTGGGTTTCTGATTTCACCTGCTGTGTGCACAACTTGGTTCTATTTCGAGCTCTGAATAAATACAAGAAGTAATCACCATACTCTACCAGCATTCCCCATGAAGAGCATTTCCCAGCAGTCTTACCTGCATATTGCTTTTTTGCATATATCCTTTTCCAGCTAACCCACAACCATTAATTAGAGGGTCACTGATGGGTCATTTCATGTTTAGCCTGTTATACTCTGCAGTTCCCAACTTTTACTCTAAGTCCAAACAAATATTGGGTCAACTTATTAGATTTATTGTCAAAACTTTTTAGAATCCCACATGCAGGGGAAGTGGCTTCTATTACTTTTCCTATCAAGATTCAAACTGGCCTTATCCCAACTATATAAGTGCTTTTGTCTATACAATTTGAAAAGTTAAACTAGAAATCTATAGAAGTACTGAATACTGACAATGCACATACTGGATAAAATCCAGAGGAAAGTTAAGTAAATGTAACTCTGAAATCAATGGACCATTAGCAAACACTCTCACTTATTTCAATGAGCATGTCATGCTTGACTTGACTTTCCCTGGATTGCCCCCAACATATACTTCTACAGTACTTAGCTTTCCCATCACTCTGTAATCACCATCACACAAAAACATTGCCTAATCAGAAAACATCATGCTCTCAGGGCATTTGTAAACAGCAAATAACATTGTCTAATTGCACAGGAAAATTAACACCACACAAAAACCATGAGGGAAGGGAGCAGATGCTTGCCTTAGTTTGCCATTCAGGTACTACCTCTTGTGTTGCCCATCAAAAAGCTCTTTCTCCTGCTTAAAATTTATTTTTATTGGACATTTTAGAAGCAAAACCAACCAAGCAAACATAACATGGGAAGCACAAAGGTGTAGATTTTCTTAGAGAAAAATGTAAGTATATCTATTACAGTGAATGCATATATACAATGTACCCCTATATATTTTATGTTCAGCAAGATATGGTACTATTATTGAAGACAGTTAGGCATAGATTTCAACAAAAGCAGCCCAAATATCCATATGATTATCCATTTATAAATTACACCTCAAAACAGCCCCTTCAAAAATCCAAAGTTCCATCAAATCCTCCCTGTGTTTTTGCAGGTGGCCATTTCTCCCTCCAGTGCTGCAGCATTGGTCTTTTGGCTGCCAAAACGGTATATTTAAACTGACCTTGCATTAAATTCCAAGAGGCAGACAGATAGTTATGAAGAACATGCAAATCTGTAAATATTAAAAAAACCTTTCCATTACAAAATCCAAATTATTATCTTTTCTCAAAAGGACGCAGGCATTAGGCATTGCCAAAATATATCAGTAAGAGTAAATAAAAACAAAGCACTCTGTTGACTGCGCAAAGCAATGTGCTTCAATTAATTATTCCGTTCTGGATTAAAATCCTGTATATTTTGTTTACAATAACATATATTTATAAACATGGTCTGTGGGCCACTGTAGCTGTTTAGCCTCAGTCAGTACTTCCAAAATTAAAGGGAGCAGGGACAACTGTTAACTTCTAACAGATGTTTCAACTGCATGTATTGCCATTCCACTGTAGTTGAAAAACATGTTTAGCATGGAAGCAGAGAATGGCAAGAAATTAACATTAGGACCTACAAGCTGATGCAACATAAATATCAGCCTCTCCTAGTCCATCAAACCAACTTTTTCTTGCCAATCCTGAAGTTCAGATTTGGCCATAGAGTTAATGCTGCATGTGAAAATAAATCAAACTGCAACTTGACATGAAACCATCTATTGCAAATATCTTACTGCCATAAATGAAGGAGACATGCTATCTGCTTTAATATACCAAGAACCCAATGTTGTCCATTCAGGGAGAAGATCCAACAAATACCCAAAAATGACAAGGAAAAATGTCTAATATGGGTAAAAACAACCAAAATTTAGTAGAAGTCAATGAGTGATATAAAGAGAAATC